AAAGAACTAGTCAGCCCCAATGTCACTACTGCCTGTTCGGTCTGATCTCCCAGGGTTGGGGGTATCCATTCAATCATTTGATCAGACCTAACACTGACCAGGTGAGAAAACACTGAACTAGGCTGAGAGCTTCGAGGCAAAGACCTGGTCTGAACGCTTCACCATGGTGCTCTCGGCGTCTAACATTATGCTCCCCGTGTATTCGAGCTCCACAGAACACCATCCCCCGCTGCAGGCAGGGGTCTCCGGCCCGAGCCTCCCGCTTCTGCCCTTGTAAATGTGTATGCACACGCACACTGCACACAGACAGAGGCAGCCAGTGAGCCTTTTAGAACAAGTCAGATCTTGTCCCTCCTCTGCACAAAGTCCACCGTCACTCAGATTAAAAGCCCAAATGCTAAAGATGGCCCTTGGCCCTCCCTACAGGAGCAGTGCCTCCCTGATCTCTGACTTCATTCCTCTTCTTCCCTGCTCCTCGGGCTCACTCCCCCCCAGCCACTCTGGTCATCCATCTGTTCTTTCCACCGCCTAACACAGCCTCATTCCCTCCCTCCCCCAGGCCTTTGTACTTGATCTTGCACTCGGCCCCTCCCCACTTCCCCAAGCCATCTAACAGAAAGCCATTTCCCTCCTCTAGCCTCACGTGTCCGCATCTTCCTTCCTGCCTTCTCACCTGCTTCAGAAAGGAGGATTTCCCCAGGCCAACCAGCACCTCTGCCCCTGCTCCCTCTATCAGATGCCTTCCTGCCTGAGCCCTGGCTCCACAATTCGCCTCCTTTCTTACACTTTTAACCTTTTTCCTTTCTCCCCACATCAAGCAGCAGAACTGTGCAGTGGTTGAGTGTGTGGCTGCTGGCATCAGACTGTCTGGGTGTGAATCCAGCCACCCCACTTGCCAACTGGGTGGTCTTGTTTGAGGTATGAAATTCTCTGTGCCTTGATTTTCTCATCTGTACAATGGGAGCCATCATAACACCTACCTGGAAACATTGGATGGACCATTCCTATCAAGAACACAGCACAGTCAGCACTCATTTAGTTGCTGTTATAACTTCCCTCTCTGCTTACTCTTTTTTTTTTTTAACTGCTTGTTCTTGTTGTTGTGTGTGTGTGTTTTATTGTTAATCTTCACCTAAGGATATTTTTCCATTGATTTTTAGGGAAAGTGGAAAAGAGAGGGAAAGATAGAAACATTGATGTCAGAGATTGGTTGCCTCCTGCACGAACTCTGACCAGGGCCCGGGCCGGGGAGGAGCCTACAATCTAAATTCGTGCCCTTGACTGGAATCAAACCCGGGACCCTTTGGTCCACAGGCCAACACTCTGTCTACTGAGCCAAACCGGCTAGGGCTCTGCTTACTCTTAAAAAGGTATTTTCTGAATGCTTCCAGCTCAGTTTCCTTCCTCTTTCACCATCACTTTCCCAAGGAGGATATGGAAAAATACTAATAGCTAACATGTTCCAAGCTCGGTGTCAAGTACTGTTCTAAGCAATTTACATGAACTAACCCATTTACCTTCCCAACTCTATGAGGTGGGTACCACTATAATCATCAACCCATTTCCCAGATGAAGAAACTGAGGTAGGAACTATGAATAGTTCTGCCCTAAGCAAATATCTTGTACAGTCTCTTCTGCCTCAGTAATTACCCACTCCTTTTGAGTGACAGTTATTCATAAGTCACCATGCCATCAATAAAGAAACTGATTAAATAAACATGGTCCCACCACAACAGAATACTGTGCAGCTCTGAAAAAAGAATCTTGGAATTCTTATGTACTAATGTGAAACAAAATCTAACCACCGTTGAATTAAAACACACACCAGTATGTGGAATATAATACCATTTTTTAAAAATTGGCAAATCTGCCCTAACCAGTTTGGCTCAGTGGATAGAGCGCCGGCCTACGGACTGAGGGGTCCCGGGTTCGATTCCGGTCAAGGGCATGTACCTTGGTTGCGGGCACATCCCCAGTAGGAGGTGTGCAGGAGGCAGCTGATCGATGTTTCTCTCTCATCGATGTTTCCAACTTTCTATCCCTCTCCCTTCCTCTCTGTAAAAAATCAATAAAATATATATATTTTTTAAAAAGGGCAAATCTCTGCATGTGTCTATCTTTTTCTTAACATGTTTGCCTATTATACATAGAATCTCTTGGAAGCACACTTAAGAAAGTGCTAACAAGATATACTGGGTGGTTGGGTTGGGAGTGGGAAGGAGACTTTGCACCATTATAACTTTTATCCCTTTTGAATTTCAACACTTTGGATGGATTACTTCTGCAAAAATAAATTAATAAATGTAATATCAAGAAAATTGTGAAAGGCTATGAAACAGGCAAAAACAAATCAATGTGTAGTCCAGCTAGCTTCCCACTGGGTGACCTGCCCCATCGTGGTTTTTAAGCTACTTCACCACGGTAAATGGTAGAAGACTTTCAGTAATGCAAATGACTCGTGTCCATAGAAATGCAAATGTAGTCCCCGGGAATGCAATGGACTATTGACTTGTGGATATTGAGGAATTTTGCCAGGTTTTGCATCTATTTGTAAATTCATGCCAGCATTCCTCACCTGTGAATTAGTCATAGCATCTTACAAGTGCTCTCATTAGGTAAAATCTCTTGTGTTTCTTTTCTATTTGTATGTAGCTGTTTAGAATAAGTTATTTTTGAACAGGACTTTTTTGAAAGAAGAAGTCATCATTGACTTCCAAGAATCAACTTCAACAGGCTAGTTGGTATTAGGTCCATTGTTCCTTGACCTCTTACTAACATTTGCTACTGGACACCTCTGAGTTTTCAAAGACACCGCCTGGCCCGGCAACTCCTGCTCTGCTCTGACCTTCTGGCCATAGTTCCCCTAGTCTGGGCTCTGGAGCCAGCCTGTTGGAGAAGGGGGAGTCCATTCTGAGCTTCCTCTCTGGCTGCTTAGGGAACTTAAGCAAGTTATTTAACCTTTTCGTGCCTCAGTGTCCAAGCCTGGGAAGTGGGCATGTGAGGATTATAGAACGCCTGCACAGGACATGTGGGCGGCTTTCCTTTCCGTCAGAATTCCATCCACTGCCTCCACAGATTCCAGATCACACTACCCAGCTCCAACCTTCCCCTTGACCCCAGATCTGTGTATCTAATCCCTGGCAGGCGTGTCCGTGCTGTTGATGGACAGTCCACAGATAATGTATGGAGCACCTTCTCCCCCTCGAAGGGCCAGACCGATGGTCCGCTGCTCCAAAATATCAAACTGAGACCAATGCTATGAAGAAAAACAAAGCAGGTGTGGATATAGGGGAGTGACAGCACTGAGGGGTGGCCTGCTGTAGGTAGGTGGGGGAGGGCTCCAGGGAGGCGGTGACATTTGAGCTGCTGGACCTGGAGCCTTCCAGGTGGGGGGAACAGCAAGTACAAAGCCCTGAGGCAGGCTTGAACTGGGTAACTTAGTGTTTCAGAAAAACAAATAAAAGCTAAGTGTGGCCAGAAAAGGCCAGTGAAGGAGGTGCAGAGGATCTGAGCATGGAGCTAGTCAGAAACAAGCTCACTCTTTCCTCTGCCATCTTTCCATTGCTCGGGTTCAGAATATTCCAGAATGTTCTCTCTATCCCCCTTCTCCCATCTAGTCCACACAGTCTTTGAGTCTACCCCAAAGGAGAAGAACCCCATGGAAAGATAATTAAGAACATGTACACTTAGGACCCAAGCTACTGGGACTATGTCTGCCCCTGCCATGCACCAGAAACCCAAATAATTTCCATGACTCTGCACCTGGCTTCCCGCCTATACGATAGGAATAGTACTTCCTATCTCATAAGGTGGCCCTGCAGAATCAATGAACTAAGATATGAAAAGACATGGCCCCTGACTGTGACTTCTGCAGGCTGGTTCCTACTCTACCCTCCTCTCCAATGGCTCCCCCTTCCTCCCTCTGTTCTGGCAACACTGGCCTCCTTCCTCAGCTCCTCCTCAGCCTCTCTAAGCTGGGTCCCACCTCAGGTCCTCTGCACCCCCAGGGTCCTCAACCTGGAGCACCATTTCCCATGGTGGCTTCATCTCAGGACTCGGATCCCATTACAAATGCCACTCACTCTTCCACGGAGGCCTGTCCTGACCATCCACCTGAGGCCAACTTCCTTACATTTTCTGGGACATCACTCGGTTGTTTCCTTCCTAGGATGACGTAGCACCACATACAAGAACCTTATTTGTTTACTGACCTTTTGTCTGTGTACAAAGACAGGGACTCTGTGTATCTGCTCACCAATGTTCCCAGGGCCAGCACAGGCCTGGGGCATAGTAGTTGCTCAGTAAATATTTGTCCAATGAATGGCATTTTCTTCTTACATAAAGCAGGTTTTGTACAAGATCTCCACTAGTTCAACCATGGCCGTAATATGGATTTAGCACCTTTTAGCACAATCTATGAGGTTGAACCATGTGAAGTTTCCATTTGTACGTGAATAAAAGTCCAATCGCAGTAATTTCATCTATGGTGATATGCAGAAATATAACCAGCTAATTCTATCTTTCAACTGTTTACTCCAGCCATCTTGACCTACTGGAGGTCCTCAAAATGTGTCCGTTGACTCCTGCCAAACCTGTTATGGACCTTTGCACTTGCTCCTTCTGATGCTTCAGACCTAGGACCAAATGTCACCTCCTCCAGGAGGCCCCCCGGGGTTAACATCATGTCACAACACTGGTTTCCTTTTCTTCCCAGCACTTAACACATTCTAAAATGAGGTGTTGCATTTGCTTTTCAAGGCAAAAAAATTTGTTTTTCTATACAAGGTTGTAATCCCACTGCCTAGAGGAAGTGCAGCATTTGGGAGTCTCTCAATGTTTATTCTTTGAGTGAATGTAAATTCCTTGAGCTTCTGTCCATCCTTTTAAAATAGGTTGCTTACTACTGGAACAAAAAGATGCTTCCTATGTACTTGCTAAATAACCGGAGTGACTTCTATGGACTTTCACCCCTTTTTACAGCCACCCCTGCCTCCGTCTCCTTCCTTGTTACAACATGAGTATCATCATCACCAGTAAGAGCGCCACTCTTGCACTCTTACGGAGCCTCACCCAGGCCAGGCCCTGTTCTGAGCACATTTTGCATGTAAATTAATGGAATCCTCCCCACAACTCTATGAACCACAGATGAGAAAACTGAGGCGCAGAAAAATGAAATCGTTCATCCATCTGCAAAAGGACGACCCTGATAAGAAAAATGAAGTCTGAGTCCTCTCAACCTCTAAAATTCCAAGAAACAAATACTATGGCGAAAGGGAACCAAATTTGACAGGAATCATGCAAAGGCGATCAGGAACCCAATCAGCAACAACAGCAAAAAAACAACAACACATGCCAAGACAAAAGGAAATCTCGGGCGCGGGGACATTTGATCAAAACTCAACTCTGAGGGGCTCTCTCAGGCGACCGAGCCTTGCCCCCTCCCAGTATTTCCCATCCAATTCCAAAAGCCGAAAACCTGGACGTCACCCTTGACCTTTCCCTCTCCCACCTCCCATCCTGGAGCCCTGTACCTTCGGAGCGTCTTTGACTGTCGATTCCGGCTGCGTAGCACCATTCTGCAGAGCTTGTGTCTCGCTTGGAGCCACTATTAGCTGTGTATCTGGGCAGGAAGGGACCAGCTTCCCCCCAGCCCCCAGGCCCCAGTCAGCTCCCACCCCCACCCTCAGCAGCCAGAGGGATCTTTTGAAATTTCTATTTGGACCAGGACACACCCCCATCCCCCCAACCTCCACCTCAAAAACTTTGCAAAGGTTTCCCATTGTTCTCAGGCCAGTCTCAAATTCCTAACCGAGCCTTCGGGGTGGGGGGCCTGCAGGGTTCCCGTCTCCAACTTCAGCCTGGTCTCTGAACTGCAGACCCCAGCCTTCTCAGGCCGGCGGAGTTCAAATTCTGATGTCCTTCACTCACTGTGTGACCTTGTGCAAGTAACTGAACCTCTCTGGGCCTGTAAAATGCAGATAATAACACCTCCCAGAGTTTAGTCGGGATTAAA